TTTTTGCGATTTTCTTAAATTACGCCTTTTAAGCTACTTTTTTAAAACTTTCGATTTAATTCCGGTCCAGTATTTAACTGAACTACATGAGGCTTCATGAAATTCATGGTCCTCATCACAGTACCTGCTGATTTTTTCTCTATTGCTCATCTCATCCGCTATCGACGGGTTTTCTACCATGAAAAGGCCCTATAACGAATGTATATGCGGGCGGAGTTGTATTTCCCCGAGGAGTCATATCGTGCTGACGGCCAGCAAAACTTGCTCAGATTTATTATCGCGTACGCGGAACACTGAGGTTTCTTGTGTGCGGGCTGGTTTCGAATTGAGGACCGTGTCGCGTTGCGCATTCAATCAGATTCCAAGTTGACTGGGAGGGTTTTTACCCGACCAAAACGATACACTCTCTCTTTTCGTGTCGATATTGCGCACAACAGGCCCGATCATCTTACATTATCGTATCACAAACGAGGTCAACACGATTGACGCGATACGGTTTTTTGCCTCGAGCTCTCATTCAGGAGATGTTTTTTGGGCGAATGGCGGCCCCATCAAAGATGTCTCGTGGTTTATCCTGGCGAATAGCAGAAGGGTTTAATCGAGTGGGGGAAAATTTGACAATCAATACCGTAGTCGGAGTAATAAATCATGCCGACGTGCGTCTTAAGGGGAGCCGACCGCAAAGGCGTGCGTTACGTCGCGCTCACGTTGACGTCACAGGAAGTTATGATGGGAAGGGAGAATTTATAGCAGTCGCATCTTCCTTAGAGCTTATGGAAAAATAATGATCAGCTGAAGCTCAAGAAAACAAAGGCTGAAAGGAAAAACACGAAAGTGTCAAAGGAAAAGCTGGAGGGAGAAGAAGTGTTTCTATCTCCGCAGCGACCCTAGGAAATTCTGAGTATTGATAGGAGAACATACTGGAATCATATTTTTTCGGCCCATAGAATCTTTATTCTATGAGTTGAAACAGAGTGACATACTCCAATACTCAGGGCCAATCTCAGGGATGCGCCATGCGTTCGACTCCCATTCAGAATCGCAGCGACACTCGAATACCTGCCGAGCTCCTCCTGCTTCTCGACGAGAACGTCTTGCCAGAATAATGACTGCTCCCGTGGTCTGCTGTCGGCAATCGCCAAGTCGCTCGCCCCGCGGCCCCAGGGGTCAATGGGGCACCACGTGTAAAGGTGGGATGGGCTTGCCACGAGCGCCAAACCCATTCTACGCAGTGTTAAGTCGAGAAAGCAACAAGACCCTGTCGTCCAATCCTACGCCCCCGCCCCGCCCCTCCGCCGCCCAACCACCCCCTATCCCGGCCTGTCATACATGCTTCATACTGCGCAAGACAATAACTGCAAAGGGAGCGGCGTTCCCCCACCCCGTTTATGCTTTAGCGCCCGCCCAAATCTCCAGCAATCACCTACTTTACGTGGCGCTTTCCATTTCCGGGACCAGGAATACTTTGAATTCGCCAATTGCATGGTGAACATCTCTCGTAGAAAGTACAGTAATCTCGACTGTAGTATTCTTCCAGACGGCGCGCTGCAGCCGGGGCGTTGGAAAGCCTGGCTCACGACTATCAGGAAAAACGAGTCGCCCTGCTAATGGCACTAAGTCTTCCTTTCTATAGCATACTACAAAAATGCGTTTTCAGGCCTCGATTTTTTCGTGACCTCTTTGAAGACTATTGCTAACTCCCTACTCTTGAGAGGCTTCTTGTCCTCTTTCTCCTCCAAATCCAGCCGCCAACTTCCCCAACCACTCGCAAATTTTGCCCGGCCCGATCCTTCTTTCCTGTCTGCGATTTTCTTCGCCCTTTTTCGCAGCTTTCAAATTTTGAGTCCTACTCGCTTATGAACCATCCGCTTGACAATATCATCCTAGAATACTACACTTGATTTATGCTTTCAAGCACCTCGCAGGCCCATTTTGCTCGATCACAACGTTCTCTTCGCTCCCCCCGCGATTCGCTCAGAGGCCCAATACTTCCCCTCCGTCTCGCTCCGCTAGAACTTTAAACAAAGAAGGGGAAACGACGGGAAGACTGCAGGCCACAAAAGGAACGACACAGCAAACGGCAAACAAACGGGTCACGGATCAAGGGAAAGGGGTTTCCTTCGTGCACTGATGGCCCCGCCCCCCCCCCCGCTCGAGACGGGCTCTTACAGAAGAACGAGTCGTTTAGCAGAGTATGAAATGCATAAGCGGATCAATCCTTTAACACTCGGCCCCTCCGCTGCCTTCCTCGACGAAGAATTTTGCAGAACATTGATGCTGTGCGACTTTGTCGGCACTGACAGGCTTCGGCAGGGGTTAATGGGACGAAGGTGATGGGTTTGGCACGACGCCAAACCCATTCTGCACCAGTTGTTAAGTCGAGAAAGCAACAAGACTGTATCATACATTTCGTATTAGGTTTTGGAGAACGAATCTAGCGCCGCGCCAAACCCATCCCGCCTGTCATACCTCTTCATCTGCAGCAAACAATACTGCAAGGAGCGGCGTCCAGCGTTTTGATGAGGCAAAATTCAGAATCACTTTATGCGTGGCGCTTTCCATTTTCTGGACCAGGAATGCTTTTAATTCGCCAATTTTATGGTGAAACATCTTTCGTAGAAAGTAAAGTAATCTCGACTGTGGTAGCCTCCCAGACGGCACGGTGCAGCTGAGACGAATGGAAAGCCTGGCTCACGTATCAGGAAAGAGAGTCGCGCTAATGTGAAAGTCTCCTTTTTATAGCATATACAAAAAAATCGGTTTTCAGGCTCAATTTGCTCGTAGCTTTTGAAGACTATTGTACTCCTATCTTAAGAGCTTCTGTCTTTTTGAATGGCATCGATAGCGCAATTCAGAATTGGTGAATTTGGGCGATTCTTTTTCACCCTGAAATTTTTTCGGTTTTTCAGCTCCAAATTTCTAGTTCTGCTTGAGAACTATGTTTGAAATTATCCTAGAATATATCCCTGATTTATCTTTGGTCCTGCAGGTTATTTAATTATCGAAATCCCTCGTGCTGCGATTCGTAGAGGCGTATTCTCGTCTTTTCAGCTAAGACTTCGAACGTGGGGAAAGGGGAAAGAGTTCAAGAAAAAAGGGACGAGAAGAAGGAAAGAAGACGGGTGAAGGAGCAAAGGGAAGTTTCCGTAGCTGAAGGACCCCCTGAGACGGGCCTCACAGAAGAACGAGGGGTTTAGCAAAGCGGAAATGATTAAGGTGTCGATCTTCACATCCTTCCCCTAACTGGTCTATTTCTTCCACGTTTTCCTCCCTTCTCATTTGCCAGCTCTTCTATAGGCAAAATTATTTATTATTATTATTATTATTATTATTATTATTATTTTATTATTATTATTATTATTATTATTATTATTATTATTATTATTATTATTATTTTATTATTATTATTATTATTATTATTATTATTATTATTATTATTATTATTATTATTATTATTATTATTATTATTATTATTATTATTGCTTATTACTACTATTAATCGCTGTTGTTATTATTACTATTACTATTGTTATTGCTATTACTATTATTAGGGCTAGTTTGGTATCGAAATTGTTAGGTTGAACAAGCCGGGAAGCCCGATTATTCCAGTACTCGACACAGCTGGTCAAGAAGAGTTCTGCACAATGCGAGAGCAGTACCTCCGTTCTGGGAACGGTTTCCTCATCGTTTTCGCCGTCACTGACAGGAACAGGTCAGAGATTGTGTTCTTTGATTTTTGGGATTATTTTCCTATGTTTTTCATTTTTCTGTCGTGTCATTCCCCATGTGTGTTATCTTTTCTTTCTATTGCACCTTTGTGTTTCCACACCCGTTAATCCTGGTTTTCCCCTTGCTGATGACATATCGATTGCCATCGATCTTTATTGATTCTTGATCCTCGTTCATTGTGTTCATGTACGGCTGTCAAGCTGAGTGTCGTTGTGTTTGGCCAGCAGCAGCAGCATCTTGTTTGGTCGGATTTTACGACGATTGGAATTCCATTCGTAAGGCGACAGCGGGGTCGTCCCGTCGTCGTCGTCATCGTATCATAAGCGAAATTTGGCCGCAAGCCAACCGCCACCCGCCCACACGGGGCTGATGGCGGTGGAATGAGGGGAATTTTGCGGTCTTATCACACTGATAAGGTCGACTGCGCTCTATTGTTTGGTACAAAGTCGGACTGTACAACCAGAGGGGTAGTAGAAATATGAAACGTGGTCGCAACGTAAAAAATAGATATTAATTTAATTGACCTAGGTTTCAGGACAAGGCCTTGCGCGATTTTATTGATGGCCTTCAGTGTTGATTGATAGACTTCCTATTCTCATAAATCATCCCTTTTCCGTTTCTTTACCATTTATTTATTGATTTTCATTCCTCTCGATGGAATCAATCAGTGTCAGTTCCAACCGGAAAGTGCATTAGCCGATCGCATTAACGTAGAGAGACGTGTGTTAGTGTGACAGCAAAAAGTTCAAATACACCAATAGAGCAGATTGTTGGCCAGCTGCCAAGTGCACTGTCCGGACTATCCTTGCTCTTTGGGTGGTCGGGGCGGGGGCGAAATTGAGGGATGAGGGACCAGCAAAGAGTTGCGAATATCCCCAGCAAAAAATCGCTGGTAAAAGTGCTCAGGAAGGTGGAAATAACAGAAAACCTGGGAACTTTAATTTCAAAGCTCCTAAATCTCTTCCACTCAAAGGTTAGGAAAAGAAAAAAAGGGGAAAAAGGAAACGAAAAGTCAGTGACTTTTTGATTTTTGAAGTATCCTGGGGAGATTTCTGTGAGAGATTCACAGTGTCCGCGATGTCGCCTAGTTCTTTTCTAGACCCAAAATTCACATTTTTTTCCAAATAAGCTCCCTCGAAGGACTCTGTGAGAGAAAATTTCTTGGAATTTGTGCCCACACTCGGGATGAGGTGGCATAGTGGCAAATGGCAGCGCTTGCCAAGCCTATTCTGTAATCAGATCCGGGATCAAGTTGCGCCAAATCCAACTGAATCTTCCATCTATCCTGGTCGGCTAACTGATATTTGATTTACCTCTGAGGATAGAAACACTGACCAGCTTGCAAAGTGCCCTGATCCTGTCATTGTATAGGCCAAATAGCACTCAAATGCAACGGCGATTCTGCAAGGAAGTAGGATCCGTGGCGCATCCTGGAGAGGACAGATAGACGCTCACTGATTCAACTATGTTCCTGCTTTCTCTATGTTCCTGCTTTTTCCCATCGACTCGCTTATTGCAGTAAAAGTCAGCTTCAAGTCAAACTGTAGATGCTCCTGCGAGACTCTTTCGCAGATTCCCCTTATTTCTACGAATATTTCACCTGCATCGATTCTATTTTTAACGCTTTCCCTCCTTGTGTGCAATGTCCACTTTCTTCTGGGACACCTGAGGAGATTTTTTTCCTGAACGGGCAGAAAGCTGCTGCTCGGCCATGGCTGAATTGTAACGATCTCGTCACTCGCATTTTTGGAACTCTCGCAGCCTATGTCATCTCTTGGGGATATTCATTTCTCTTGCTCATTCACAAGTTGGTTTTTCGTATTCCGGTAAGATTACACGTGATAGCAACGTGGAGCTGGCGTAATAAGTAGCTTTTGGATGCTAGTCTAGCGAGAACTTCTTAAAAAAACAAACATTGGGAACGAGTGATGGAAGAGATGGAGCAAAGTTTGTCCACACCGAGACTGAAGTGCTGGAGCTGGTGCAGTTTTGTGAGGTCTTAGCCCTATCTTCCCATCTTCAGTTTTTCTCACTTCGCAGAGCTCTGCTTCTTCATGAAGCTCTTCAGCAACGTTTCTCTCCTTGAGAGCACTCAAAACGGCTCTAGACCATTCGCAGCCGAGAACCCTTGAGTATTTAGCCGCTCAAAAAATTGACCAAAATTCCATAGTACAAATGATGATGGATGTGGCGATGACGGCCGCACTTCAACTTCGTGCACTGATGGAGTGGAGTTTTTCGAGAGGGTTCAGAGTGAGGAACGCGATTGGGGACCCCGTTAGTGAGGAGTGTCCGTTCAAACACAACCGAGCGCCAGCAGGCTTCAGCTGTCTCGGGTGCTCTGACGACGGCCCACTTCGTCAAGTATTAATGCTCACGCTGCGCCGAAGTCGTGTATCGGCTCGTCGTCCTCCATGAAACAGCAATGAAAACATCGACGCGAGGAGAATTGAAATTCACTAGGAACACGCACGTCCTTTGGGACAGGCCATCACAGGGACATTCTGATATTTGCATTGCTTTCAGCTGGGCAATTTTATCGAGAGCATATAAAATAAAGGATGATACTCCAATATGACAAGATAGCATCCTGCCGCTGGGGAATATTTTTGGAAGACATGAAACCTCCTCCCCCCACCAACACACACACACCCCTCCCCATCTCCCATCTCTACCATTCTAACTAACATCTTCCTGACTTTCCTCAAGGTTCAAAGCGCACTTGAAATAGGAAAAAACCGACAGAAACCGGGGAAAAGTCAACAATCGAACAATTGCATTTTCTCCAAAAGCCAGAACGGCCAGCTTCCGTGAAGCGACCAAATACGACCCCTCCCCCCGCTGGGGAGTACGAAGTGCCCCAATCAGGAATAAGCCATGCATGTTTATGAAGAAAACGAGAGTTGATCATAAGTCCATGATCTTCCACCAATTGGTTTATCTTCGCTTTGAGGGGATTATTGTTATCTCTTCTCACAACCAGACTT